ATATATGGTAGAATGACTGAAATAACTAGTTAACTAATAACTGTTCATGGAAGATGATGGAGTTTTAATCATTCTGGCCACAGAAAAATGCATTTGGTGCTCCCTTTTCAGCCATAGGATAAGTCGTTAAATATGATATGAAGTCACCTAAGTCTCCTCACACCTCCCCTGTGTTGGAACCAACAAGTTGGACTGAAGCCCCTTTGTTCTGTGTGGAAAGTCTGCCACCTCTACCAACTTGTCCTCAGGAATGTTGTTCTAGAAATAAACCAACCTTCTCTCTGGAGTTCATGAGTCATACACAGAAGTTAATTCATAAGAACAACTGGTTTTTTCTTAGGCTTGTTGTAAAGGCATTTCAGAGAGTCCCTCATGATGAAGAATGTCGGGATTTCCTTGCTTTCTTTCCAGCTCTTACCTCATTTCCTTTGTCTGTACTTTCTCCACCACCTTATATTTGGCTTTCACTGACAACCTTTACCTGCAGACCCAGGCCCCAGTGCCAGAGCTGGTGCTGTGTAAAGCCAGAAGTACACCAGCAAAGCCTCGTTACCCCACCTACTCGGTACCACTCACTCATATTCTGAATTAAATCATACTGCACCAGACCATCTCCATCCTCTTTGCCATTAACCACACCTGTGAGACAGTATGCCCATGAATAACTTTATATTCTGTATCATAAGGTGGAACCCAGTCCATTTTTTCATTTCCTTAAAATTCAATTTATGACAAAATAATACTTAAATACATTTTAATGAACAACATAAAGTTGACGTTCCCCTTGTTAACTAAGTAATTTGCTTTGCTATATAATTTTTGGTTTTTATATTCTAGAATATTTTTAAACACAATAAATACACAATTACAGTAAAATTCAAGCAATATAGAAGTATGAATAGTAGAAAGGGAACATATGTCAGAACCCTGCCTCATATACACTTCCTGTCCACTGTTAGCAGTTTGATGGTAACCTTCCAGACCTTTGTGAAGTGCATTTACAAACATTTGTGTTAGGTGGACAATTTTATGTTCATACGGAACAATATTATGTTCAAATGGAACAATATTATATCTGTTCTGCAGTGTCACTTATTCACTTACTGTCTCCTAGCTTTCTATGCCAGAACATTTAGCTTTACTTTGATAACAACTACATAAAATTCCATGGCTTGAGCGTGCCATAATTTATTTAAACTTTCTCCTATTGATGAACACTGGAATTGCTTCCTGTTTTGATTATTTGTCATTGAAATAATGCTGTATTAGCCCAGAACATAGCTCAGTGGTACCACCACCTGCCTCGCAAGTGCAAGGTCCCAAATTTGATCCCCAGTACCAAAAAATAACAATAATAATACTGTATTGAACATTGTTGTATATGTCTCTTTGGGTACTAGGCTAGCTATCTAGAGATGCAGTTGATGGGTCAAAAGATAGGTGCATTTAAATTTTTATACTTTTCAAAATTTATAATTAAATACTTTAATCACTATTTTCCTTTCTTCTACAGAAATTTCTATCCTGGGAACTGACATTGACCTTCAGGCTATAGACAATGATGTTATCAGCATGGAGATTTTCTTCAAAGCCTGGCTGCATAACAGTGGAACAGACCAAGAACACATCCATCTTCTTCTTCCATCACAATGTTTCAGCACCCTTTCCAAAACCAAGGATAATCCAAGTATAGAACCCCCAAATGATACATTATATAGGCCAGTGATGACAAACCTCTTAGAGGTTTCACTGATACAAACAGCCTGCTGTGGCACAAGAGCCATAGATGCACCACCACTGATACAGGCTATATCAGGATTGTCTAGGATTATGACTCCAGATTGATGAGTCATCAGACTACAGGGTAGTTGAAGCTTAGGGACTGAATGAGGATCGGTTGAGGCTGTACAGTATTAGCATGAAGACAAGGAGAGAAAGTTTGAAAAGTGACACTGTTAGAAAGCTGAAGCTAATTAAGCCCAAATAGTAAGGACCAGTTAGTTTAGGAACAAAGTTTTAGACACCTCAGTGATAGGGAATTAGCCTACGTTACCTAATTATATGATGAATCATGTTTTTCTTAATAGCTCATTTTTAATGTAGTAAATATTATTGGCACCATAATTTGAGGCATCCATTACCTCAACAGTATTAATAAGGCTTGTGGCAAGAGAAAGATAACCATCATTAAATAGAGATCTTCTCACTGGGGAGGTATCAAATTGAAGAAAACTAAAGCCAGCTACAGTGGCAAGCCCCAGGGAGGGCAACTAGTCACTCAAGGCTTTGTTCACAAAGCAGTTCAGACAATTATTGAAACCAAGGGGTGAATCCAGTGTTCCAGGCATGCCAACAAGGTGTTGGCTATTTTTCTGGCTGGTAATTTTACTTCACTAAATGGTAGGGATATGGCTATTTCTGTTCTCCCATCCTTTTGAAGGTTTGCTCAGGACTTGGAGTGGCAAATGGGCCCATCAGTACAATCAGCCACACTGTTTAGGAAAACCAATTCCTTAGGGCCCAGCTCCTAAGAAACCAATTCCCTAGGGCCCAGCTCCTAAGAGGATCAAGGTGTGTCTTCTTTAGGAGTGAGAGTTTGTGCCCGTCTTTCTCATTGAACAGAAGATTGGTAGTAGCTACAGAGATCATTCAGGGTTAAAGGCTGAACTGGACATGATGCTTTCCAGACCCTTTCTCATAGGCTCAGACATGACATAGTAAGGTTTCTACCTCCTCTGAGGGCTTTTTCTTGGCCATTAGCAGTATATTTGAATTCTCTTTTCTTCCTCTGTAACACAATTCTGCTATGACCATTGTTTCTTCGGGATAGTGAAGAGCCTTTTAAAGGTACAATTAAATAGGACTATGGTTCCTGAAGATCCTTTCTTTCTCGGGATAGACATCAGATCTCTGCTCCCTTCCCCAGTTAAACCTGGGACCTTGGATACCTTTGATAACTTAATTTGATTTTACTCTGTCTTTCTTTTGTGGATCAAAATCTCCTTCCCAAGTCCTCCTTTCCATCTAGTCCCAGGCTAACAATAAAAATTCCTCCCTGACCCATCCTCTGAAATTCATTTTCCATTTTCCCAGCAGCTGGCAGCTTTATACAAGAGGCGGCTTACAGTTAACATTTTTGAGCATTCCCTTTGTGGCAAGCACTATGTTAACTCTTTTCCTTTCATTAACCCATTTTAACTTTACACAACGCCATGAGGTCAGCACTATTACCATATGTCATTGAATCTAATATAATCTATAAGTTATAAGACCATTATTTTATCTACCACTAAGAAAGAAAACATTGCCAATTGAACATTAAAAGTATTATTTTATTCTTATTGAGAGAGTTCTTTTAGGTTAGAGTTGTAAGAACTGTAACTGATAGAGGTCTGTGTGGGCAATTATAAGGCAGGTATAGAGATATTAATAGAAACAATGTGTATTCAAGTCAATCAAATACAATACTGTCCCTGTTTTACACACAAGAAACTGAGACAAAAAAATTAATCACCTTTATAGGGCTGTGCAGAAGATTAATAACAGAGCCAAGATTTGAAGCCATACAATCCATACAATTCCAGGCCACATTCTTCACCCTTAGGAATATATATATATAATATATATATAATTATATATAATTATTATATTATTATATAATATATTATATATTATAATATATTATATATTATTTTATATATTATATATAATTATATATTATATATTATTATATATTATATATATATTATATATATATTTGAACCCAAGACTTCCTGCATGCTAAACAAGCATCTACAACTGAGTCACATCCTCATCCCTTTTTATTTCAAGACAGGATCTTGTTAAGTTTCCCAGGATGTCCTTGAACTTGGAATCCTTCTGCTTCAGCCTCCTGAGTAGTTGGGATTACAGGCATGCAGCACTATGCCAAGCTCAGAAATCTATATTTTGTACATTTGGTCATTCTCAGCTCAGAGAATCAAACTAGGTCTACCTATCTCCAGAGCCTTGGCCATAACCTGCCTCATGCTGGGAAATTCTGAACAAAAGGGATAGAAATTCACTCCTTTTACAAGAAGGGCTGGAGCCCTCAAAGGCCAGGAACTCTTGTGACCAGCCTTTCCTCCACTGTTGCATATCTGTCCATAGCTTGGATCAGAATTTCTGTCCCCCACATCCCACTCTACCAGATGCTCTTTCCAGAGCTTTCAGCACCAGGGTCAGACCCAGAATGTTCATCTCCATCCATAATCATGTTTAGGAAGTCTGCACATCTTCAGGGTGCATGTAAAACTTACAGCCAGACTCCAGTAAGGTTTTCTCCTATGGAGGTCTTCACTGGAATCCAGAGGCTCAGGCACAGTTGGAATGAGTTCTGGGAAAATTAGATTTCTTCTAGGGCCAATGTGACCTACTTGAAATTATAAGTAACCACAATTAAGATCCTACTCTAGTTATCTATTATTTTTTTAAACTGATACATTGCCTCACATGTGAATTTCTGGACACATGACTTACTACAAAAGAATAAAGCAAACACAAAAACCATGAGCTCTCCTATTACAGGCTCTTTAGAGGAGTACTCCTCAGATATTTACTTTGCTACATTACAAAGCTCTCCAGCCCACATCACCTGCTTCTTTGGCTGCCTAGGTCCCTTCACCCCATCTGTAGGTGCTTCCTTTAGAGGCTTGTCTCTGGCAGACAATGTACAGGCAGCTATTGATGAGTGTCTTTTCTTATTCTCTGGTGTGGGTTTTGCCATCTCTGCATCAGACTGTGGGAGGTAAGAAGTGCATCTAGGTCTAGATTTGAGCCCTGCTAAACAGCTTCCCCAGCTTTGGAACACTGCTTAGACAATAGTTCAGGTAATTCTCAGCCCTGACTGCAATAAGAAACAGATAAGAAACTTTTTGAAAAAATTAACATCTGGGCTCCACCCCCAGAAATCTTGATTTAATTGGTCTCAGGTGGGGACCATACATCAATATTTTTTAAGGCTCTCAGAATTTTTTTAAAGGCTCTCAGTGATTCTTACTGAAACCAGATGGATACAGCTGCCCAGTCCTTAAAACTAGGGACCAGAAATAAAGAAGTGAGGCAGAGAGGAAATACAAGGGAGCTAGAGTCCTAGGAAAAGTCTCCCTTGACTTCCTGGACTGTGGCACATACCAGACCAAGAGCCATCTCACCCAAAATTAATGTCTATTTCTTATTCACTGGACCCAGGATAGCCAGCTGTATCTGACATCAAATCTGCCAATCTATTTTTGTCTTGTTATTTCTATGTTTATTTTTATCTCATGCTGCAGTTAATCCGGTGATTTCTCAAATCCTTACTATCAGCTACTAGTCTCTCACAACTGCTCAACATTTGTATATTTGTAAGTTTGCTCATTATTCAAACCAAGTATGCATTTTATTCAAAAAACTTTGTAATATCAAGGATTGTACCCTGTGGCATGTGACGGTAAATCCTAGAGCAGAAGCTTAATACAGAAGACTGTAATACTTAGATGAATAGCTCATACTCAGCCTAACACCTTCCTCAGAATTATTGTCTGATGCTGAAGTGATGTACTGAGGCCCAGAAAGTCCTACACTCAGGTTTTTGGGGGAATTAAAAATAAGCTGTTTAAGGAACTTATTCCTCCTGTAACCCTGAATGTCCCCAGGAAAGCCCACAAAGAAACAGTAACAGTCAGCTGATTGCCCGACTTCTGCTTTCCTGCTCTTCCTTAATCAGGTTTGCAGTCTTGCCAAAGCTTAGCCACAGGGAAGCACCAGAGGCAAATTTCCTTCTGTGACTGTGAAAGGGCCTCTGCATATTTTGGCATTAGCTGCCCGCTTCACAAAGGATCCATGTTCCTCTCAGACTGGATTACAAGCCAGATCTCTCACCATGAGACAATTGCTCTGCCCACCCCAGAAATAAAACATGTAAAATTTGTATCAGATGCAGAAAATAACTTAACAGTTGTGTAGAGCAATAGACATACTATAGATTGCAGACCAGCTTTACCTTCCCAAACCAATTATGCTTTCCTCTTCCCACTCTCCTACCTCTTCTCATCCTTTGCTTGCCTGGTAGAAGTGAAATGGCAGATGTTGTCTCTTAATAGCATAGCCTGAGGTAACTTGTGACTAACAATCTCTCGTCCAATGCTGCTTTTATTGTAGTGTGCCTGAAATGTGATCTCCAAGAGCGTCTTCTCAGTCCATCCCTGCTCCCTGGTACAGCTGATGGCTCCTTGAGAATGGATGACCCCAAAGGAGACTTCAGCACACTTTACCAGATGGCTTCCCAGTCATCAGCTTCTCATTACAAGCTCCAAGTGATCAAGTATGGTCCAAGGAAACCTTCCCAATCTATGCAAATGCTATTCTTACTGTCCCATGGCTAGGAGGTCCAGAGACTTAGGCAAGCATGAATCAGTTCTGAAGTATCAGTTATAAGTATGGCATGAAAAAACAAATCAGGTTGCTCAGCATGTGGAGGCCAAAAGCACAGATGGTGAAAGAAGTGTTGCAGCAGAACACTTGGTAGTCTGTATGAGAATTGAAAATCCAGAAAAGTCTCTGAACACAAGTGTCTGAAAGCAAAATCAGTAGAAAGGTGTTTAACCATTCAGTGAATGTTTATGGAACGCCTACTGTGTTTAGACATCAGTACCAGAGCTCCAACTTTCAAGGAGCAAGTGCACAAAGACTCTTCCCTGGCCCCCTCCCATTTCCCTAAGAACTACTTTCTGCTTCCAGGAGAACCAGTTCTAGAGTAGAATTAACAGTGATTGCAAATGCCACTTTATTGCTTTCTAGTGTTATAGGATCCATACATATATAAATTCCTGAGCTTTGAAAGATTTATGTATCAGATACCATGTTAGATGCTGGCCATACAGAGATAAATAATTCAGTGGCCCTAACCTAAAAGCTTTCACCATAGGGTCTTAGAATTAAGTTGAATTTAAGTAGATCTGGGTAGAGGTTCTAAATATCACTCAGTAGTCTTTCTCTGTCATCATCTTCTTCCCAGGGCTCTGAAATCTAGTGGGCTCTGCGAGTCATTGACATATGGACTTCCCTTCATCCTTAGACCCACGAGCTGTTGGCAGCTGGACTGGGATGAGCTGGAAACAAATCAGCAGCATTTTCATGCTCTGTGTCACAGCCTGCTGGTGAGTACCCATGTGCCCAGGTGAGAAAGAGTGCTCAAATACCAACCACAGAAAAGCAACAAATAATCCTTCCCTAATCCCAGATCTGTCTCAGCCATCAAGAGGACAGAAAAAATTGGAAATACTCTGAAAACTGGAGTAAATATGATTTTCCTTTGTTGGTTTAACACTATAGAGAACACTATATAGAACCCGAATTTAGTTATATAGTACTGTACTAACTTTAAAATCCCTTATTTTACAAGATTAACATTCAAATAGTAACAGAAATTTTTTCATAAGTAATGATGTTTCAAACCTGCTTTCTTTTTTTTTGGTGGTACTGGAGATCAAACTCAGGACTTTGAGCTTGCCAGGCAGCCGCAACACCTCTGAGTTACATCCCTGGCCTTCAAACCTATTTCTTAACAGTGTGCTAGACATTATGGTTCATTAGAATGAAGAGCCCCCGGTCTATAGCAGACATTGTGCTAAGGCATATTAGACACAGACATTATCTATGACCTTAAAACACTTATTCTCTAATGGAAGAGACAGAATACATACACACACATGTGCGCACGCGCATGCACACACACATATTCTTAGTTGTAACAAGTTATTTTTCTTTTTTATTAGTATATGTTTGCAATACATAATAAATACATTTGTCATAGGGAACGTATACATGTTGGTACATATACATATCACATCTTGATCCTTTTTTACTTCTGTTTCCCTTCCCTAATTATAACAAGTTTATAAAGAGAAAGAAGAGACTGCTATAAAAGAGCCTATCTGTGGAAGCGACACTTAAACTGAGACCTGCAAGATAAGTGGTAAATAGCCAAGTGAAAGATGGCAGGAAGAGCACTCCAGGTACAGGGAGAGGTATATGCAAATATTTTAGGTCTGGAAAGAGCTGGGGGGAAAACCAGAAACAGAAAAGGCATTGTGTGACTTTAAAAAAGAGGCCTAGGATGTCGCTCAGTGGTAGAACACTTCTGTACTGTGTACAAGGTTTTGGGTGGATCCCCAGAACTGAAAGAAAAAAAGGAGAATAAGGAGGGGGTAGAGAAAAAAAGCCATTGTGACTGAAATATGAAGCAAAAGGGAAGACAGGCAAAAGGTGGGGTTGGATAAGGAAGCAGGGGTCAAATTATGCAAATCTTTGTAGGCCAGATTAAAGATTTTTGGACTTTAAGCAGAAAAGGAAATCATGAAAAATGATATCATTTATTTAAGATGGGGTTTTTGTTTCCTTCTGTTTTGTTTTAAGGCGGAAGCTTGCTCTGTAATTCCAGCTAGGCCTTGAACAATCCTCCTGCTTCACTCTCCCAAATGCTGGAATTACAGGCGTGCACCACCATGCCCAATGGTGATTTAAGTTCTTAAAATATCACTTGGTCAGATACAAGAATGAAAACAAGAAAATAAAGTGGAGAGGGTATTGCAATAGTGTAGACAAGAGACAATGATACCTTAGACTAGAATGTTGCAAGATAAGAAAACTAAACTAATAGAGAAATACAGTAAAGATAGAATCATAAGAACTTGATGAAAGATTGGATGTGGGGAATGAGGAAAGAGGAAGTATCAAATAACTGCTTGGTTTCTGACATTCCCTGAAATGAAAACAAATAAAGGAGTACAAACACCCGTGAAACGAATGCAATGCTTAGAAATCAAAATCAAACAGCTACAAATAGAATCCAAGGACAGATATAGAATAAGGTTTTGACCTAATAGGGTATGGATGATCAGAATGGCACAGCATTGCCTCTTCATCACTATCAAAAGCAGACTTCTTTTCCTGTTTCAAAGCCCACACTCCCTTTTAGGATCTACCCAGAGTTTTTGTTTCCTATCTGAAGAACATGCACCTCCTAACTTTGCAGAACAGAGACATCAGACCAGTTCTGAGTGTTAGTCCCCAACAGCTCAGTTTACTATTTACTCCACCCAGTTCCTGAGAATCTTGGAAATGATACATCACTCAGGAGAAATTTCTCCCAAGTGGCTTCAATACATTCAGTACATGATATTTTAAACAAACATTTTAATGCAGTTAGAGAGAGTATACATTTTCTGTTAAATGATACCCTTCAACACTTTTACCAATAATAAATCCCAAGAAAACAGAAAAGGGAGCAAAGATATGTATATAGAATGTTCATCTCAGTGTTATTTACAACAGTAAAAAATTAGACACAACCTAAACGTCCTAAACAGAGGAATGGTTAAATCTAAGTAGGAGAAAGCTTATAGGAACTATAATTCAGCCAAGCAATGAAATATGATGTAGCCATTACTGACCACTACATACCAGGCACTGTTCTACTGTTCTAAGAATGAAGATGGGCTGGGGATGTAGCTCAGTGGCACAGCGCCTGCCTGACAAGCGCAAGGCCCTAAGTTCAATTCCCAGTTCCAAAAAAGACCAAGAATGAAGAGACCTCGTTTTCTTTTTTCTTTTTTCTTTTTTTTTTTTCAATCTGTATTAGGGATTGAACCCAGGACCTTCAAATTGAGCAACATCCCCAGCCCTTTTTTATTTTTTATTTTGAGACAGGGTCTCACTAAATCCATAAATTGCACAGGCTGGGCTCAAACTTGCAATCTTCCTATCTCAGCCTCCCAGAGTAGTAAGATTATACGTAAGATTATATGCCAGAGTGACCTCATCTTTATTTTTGTTTGTTTGGTACCAGGGATTGAACTCAGGACCTTGTGCTTGCAAGACAGTCTTGGTACCCCTGAGCAAAATCCCCCACCCTATCTCGTCTGTATTACTCTTCTCTCATGGAAACTTACAAGTATGCAGTTGACCCATCACTAACAGATACCCATTTTTTGTAGCACTTACTAAGTGGTAGGCACTTAACCAAGTGCTTTGCATCCTTTACCTCATTTAATCCTTAACCATACTCTATAAAGGTAGAGATTGTTTACAGATGGAGAAGCCTAAGGCCTAAAGAAACCAAGTGGCATAGCAAATATCACATAGCTAGCAAAATGGCCAAGTCAGAGTGTGAGCCTGGTGGTGGTGGTGGTTGTGGTTGTGTTGTTGTTGTTGTTGTTGTTGTTGTTGTTGTTGTTGTTGTTGTTTGCTGTCAGGTTTTTCTGGTTTGGGGGGCTTTAGGTTTTGGTTTTGGTTTTGATTTGGTATGGTTTGGTTTGAGAGAGTTGGGTTGGGTTGATTTTGTTTTGTTTTGTTCTGTTGGTGGTTTTAGTGTTTTGAGACAGTCTCACTTAATAGTCCATGCGGGCCTTGAACTCATGATCCTCCTTGAATTAGCCTCCAAAGTACTGGAATTGTAGTCATGTGCTACCATTCTTGGCTGAGCCTAGTTCTCTTGACTACAAAGCCCATATTTTTAACTTCTTTGCAAAATTCCCTACTTTGGATATATCCAGATAAATACAGACTATAACACTGAGGCTAATTCTCCCTTTAGTTATACCCCATGCTTCTGTATTTCATTAGGGCTGAACTCACTTAAAGTGGCTAAGCACCCATAACCACTCCTTAGCCATCTTGTGCTGCTGTTCCCTCGCTCTGTTTGTCCCTCCACCAGATTAAAGACCACTCTCCTGGTCTGGAAAAGACAGAAAGTAGTACTTAAATGGCACTTTCTTCTTGCTTTTCACATGACATCTGCAAACAGCAAAAATCTTGAATGGCAGTGTGTTACAGAGGGACAAGCTTCAGCTCTTTCAATAACAAATGTTTTTGATTACTTATTATGTAACAAGACTTATTTTTAATCCTATTTTTACAAGTTTGTCATGCCGCTTTAGCTACATCCTTGGTTTTCTATTCTTATACTCTTTCATATACTCTTTTAAAATCTGATGTCAAGATAGCTCACTATATCACTCTCTTGCCTTCTCTGTTTCATTGTGATCTTTCCCCTCCAGTCAACTTCTCATTCTAACTTCTGTCTTTCTGTTAATAGCAGCACCACAGTTATCTAGTCACCCAGGCTTGAAACCTCAGCCACTTTTAGCCATTTCACTCTACACTCACTTCACCACTAAGTCAGATAAGTTTTCCTCTCTAAGTTGGAATTCTCCTTTTTTTCCTGTTCCCACTGCTTGTTCTTGCCAAGACTTGTCCAGTAATCTCCTAAGTGGTTTCTATATTCCAGTCTCTCCCTCTTCTAATGTTCCCTGCACATTGGCACCATATTAATCTTCTTGAAGCATTCCCCTATCATGTTTGCCCATGCGTCAGTACCCAATAACTTACTTGCCTTGCCTGTTCTGTCCCTATAGTACCTATTGCATCAGTGTTTTTTAAACTTTTTAACAATTTTTACTAGTATATGTTTACAGTAATGCAGTTTACAGTCATCTTGGGGAGTGAGTACATGTACATAATACAGCTTATTTCTTTTATTTTAAACCCTCTTCTTTTTCCCTTCCCCCTCCCTCCCTCATCCTCTAATTCCTCTATCCCAATTTTTATTCTTGCTGATATTAGTAATCTTAGTTCGTGTGATGTTTACATTTACTGGGGTTATTAGCCTCCTGTACATGGCTTATCTTTGAAATGAAAACCTTTTTTTTTTTGGTACTGGGGATCGAACTCGGAACCTTGTGCTTGCGCGGCAGGCCGGAACCACTGAGCTACATCCCCAGCCCAACATGGCTTATCTTTATTCTACTTATTTCCCTTTCCCCTCCTTCTCACCCCTCCCCTTGTTCTCTTGCACCACTTCCCTATTGCAAGAGATCCACACATCCCCATCCCCTTCTATCCATCCTTTATTATTCTCTTTGTTTGTACTTTGCCTCACTCAAATGAGAGATACCATATGTTATTTAAGCGTTTATTTCACTCAGCATTATACTTTTCAAGGTGCATCCATTTTCCTACAAATGTCTCAAATTTGTCATTATTTATAGTCAAGTAGTAGTCCATTATACGTATATAGCCACATTTTCTTTATCCAGATGGGTATACAGGCTGCTTCCAGGATTTAGCTATTACAAATTGTGCTACTATAAACATTGAT